CAACTAGAGAGAGAGAGAGAGCGATCCAACGATTTCTCATTCCTCCGCAGCACTTGCAGCACTCAGATCAACACTTAAGTCCAGTTCCTGCAAACATAAAGATCTCAATGAGAACCGAGATTTGTCTTTCCATCGCATCATCATAAATCCGTAGCGAGTTTTAGAAGGTTTACCTTTCCGGTGATAAGGGTGTACATGTTCAACACGTCGGCAACGGTTGTCTCGAAGTGTGTTGTAGCATCATAGCTCTGTAAATGGCCAAGGCACGGGTTAATTAAGAACATCTAGAAGCCATTAAAGTAGGTAACTGATAGAAACTAAAGATGGATCTCTCGCGCACCGTTGATATAAAGCAGTTGTCCAAAGCAGGCTCGTTGACAGGCTCATATCTGTCATACATGTCGAAGAATATTTCATCAACAGCACCCAAAAGATCAATTCCTGCCTTCAATTCGGTCTGAGGGTTATCAGTCTCTGCATCCGTAGACACAAATGCAATGAATTTTCCCTTGGGAGCAACGTTGTGGGAGTACGAGCAGCAGAACACATACCTGTCAATGTGTAGAGATTTTCACAACATCAGATCAGCAAAAAAAAAAGAGAATGATTACAAATGGCAAAAACAAACATCACTGTTATTGTCAAAAGAACTTACATGTCTGATTTGCGAGCCAATTGCTTCTGAGGTATGATGACCTGAACTGAGTGAGAGTCATTGGTGTTTGGAATTGGGTGGCTCATAATGGCAATGGCCCGAGCAACCGTGCCAATCTTCCTAACCTGTTTCAATGTGATTAACCATCATATCAAAAAATCTTGAACAGGAAGAGAAGACCGAAACGTGTACAGGAATATAAAAATGATGTAGAGTCAACAGCATAGTGAGCAGCGAAAGTCACATGTATCATGAACAGCTAATTTATAGCCTCCCCTGGATAAGTATGGACACAGTAAGAAATAATCGAAGGTTTAAACATGCTAAGAACTGAAATTTTACCTTGCCTGGGAGGTAGGAAGGGTCACACACAATCTTCTTGCATTTGGCAGTCTCTCCCTCAGATGTTACACCAATAACCTTACCTTCCTCGTCAAACTCTACCTGCCATAAGATTAGCATTGCTATATATGAGTACAGCATCACAAGAAAGAAAAAAAAACAAAGAACCGTAATGATGAGGAAGATAAAATACCTTGCACTCAGGTTTGTTCAGCATATATGTGCCACCATAGACAGCACTGAGACGTGCAAATGCCTGAACAAGGAGATGAGATAGAGAGAAGTCACAGAAGAAACAAGAAATAATCATCTAAAACTTCAGAGAGCTTCAAGCAACCAAGGCAAAGATCGTAATGAGAGAAAAACCTGGGGTAGTTCTCCCAACCCGTAGAGAGGATAAATGTAGGGAGAGCTTCCTTGGAAACGTGCAAGAGATTCCGCATAGAGCTAGCAAACCATTCAAAGGAAGAATGTTAAAACGTAGCTGCTTCAGAAATCAGAACTAATTGTAGAACTGTTAAAACAAGGGAGACAAAAGTTCACCTTCATCCTCATAACAGTATCCAAGGCGGGTTGGTTAAGATGTTGGTCATTTGTGTGAAGTGCCACTGCGTGACCAATAAAGTCAATAGTGTTGTCATCAAGACCAAATTTCCTGCCAAAGCGTCATCTAAACAGTTAGCCACATATAATCTTAAGTAAATCCCAGTGACACTATCAACGGTAAAAGGAATTAGAACATCAGCTTACGCAATCAGTTCCTTAGTCGTAAGTTTGGTCAAATCCATTCCGTTATGTGTTTTCGGGTCCTTCTCGTCGTAATCCTGAACATAGCTGAAAAACTTTCCAGCTCGACGTTTCTCAAATATGCCCATGAGAGGAGACTTCAGGGCCTCCATTGGAGTAACTGGCACCTTTTGAACCTGTGTGAAATAAAATTCATAGACAGTTTAAGAGTTATCGGTAAAATGATTTTGTAAAATTTTGCAACCGATTCATCAAAGAGAAGCTTGTACCTACCTTGCCTTTAACGAAAACATAGCTTCCATCAACGGCTTTGAAGGACAGATACTTAGTCACATCTGTATGAATAAGGACACGAACAAGCTTGCCATTTCCCATCATAAACTGGTCCATCACATTGAAAGACAAAAGTTAGCAAGTGGCATTGATATAATCCGCATAAATATAAAAAGAATAGCAGCAACCATAATGATAATACCTTAGGCATCATGTCAACATTGTAGTCCCTGCTAGCGCCTAAATGCTCAGGAGCCTTCTCTTCTCCCTTGAACTTCTTCCAAAGCTGCAAACAAAAAACTTAAAAACATCAATAAAAGTGACTGATAATAAAACCACCAGAGAGCAATTACAAAAGTTCATGAAGAAAAACCTGATTGAGATTCAGCGATGTTGATTCTCCACCATAGTAATCATTCCTGTCCATGTGAAGCACCTACACGTAATATCCATTAAACAACATTATTAGTCGACCAAACCAATGGCTTCTCTATTCATAAAGAGAAAAAAAAAATAGTGCATCAATTCGGATCGTGAGAAAATCAAGATCTCAAATTCTCAATGAAACATAAAAGCGCCAAAAGCAATCTCACATGACAACTAAGAGTCCGCCCATTTATGAAGTAATCACAAACAAAAAAATTCTAAGAATCTCCTCGCTCGAACTCGATAATCATGCTCTCACATCGCATCCATATCTAAATCGAAAATGCGAGCTCAAATTACACAATCGGAGATCTAATCTGACTGAGATCCGTTCATCGTATACCAAGCAATAGTAAAAATTCGAATCCCCGGATCGAATCAATAACCGAGAACCGATCATGAATACAAAAGCTCCGTGTACAAATAAGAGAGAAAATAGGAAAAACATATTCGAATCGAGGGAAGAGGGAAGAGGATCGAGACCTTGACACCATCGACGGAAAGGAGACCGCTAAGGATACACTCCTTGAGACCGGTGCCGAGAACAATAACCTCGTACTCTTCATCCATGGCTGATCCCGAAAAGGCTCGTACAGAAAATTGAGAAAGAGAGATAGAGAAATCAGAGATCGACGAACGCACAGAAATGAGTTTGGAGATCACTGAAGAGAAAAGGACGGTCTATCAATCTATTACAAGAGGATGAAAAATAGATGATTTAGCGGAATCGCTCCGGTTCTTTTGGTTCGAGACGGTCGGTTTTGAGGTGATTTAATTCGGTTCTTCGAGTTTGGGATTTCCGGCTAAATTCGGTTCAATCGAAGGAAACTCGATATATTATTTGGTGCATTTCGGTTCTTTCTATTTCGATTACTTTGATTAAAAGCAACTTGAAAAAGGAAACTACAAAAATAACAAAATTCAAGTCCCTTTCGAGATGATGATAACAATTTTAATATAATTGTTTGTAATAATTTCGAATGGAAATCATTTTCCGAGTGATGTTGATACTTAATAGTTTTATATAAAAGTATATACTGTATTTTGCAAGCTTACACGCATTATAGATGGACTTATTTAACTTTAATAATTCACATGATTGTGGGTCTTCCATGAATAAATTAAACAATGTAAGCAACTAGTATTACATCACCATCCATTGAACACTTCACAAACATTATTATCTTATTATATAAAGTTGGATGCGCACAACGTGGTTGCGACACATAAGATTTTTATAAAATATAATTGCGACATGTGTCACTTTTAATATTACGTTCGTTAAGATCGTGACACATGTATTGGAAAAAAAGGAAAAAAAAAATAAAGAGAATTTTAATCTTTTATAATAAAAACGAAAATTTCTATAATAAATTGAAAATATTGTATGTCTTGGGAAAAAGGAAAAAAAAATTAAGGGAAAATTTAAATCTTTTATAATAAAAACGAAAATTTATATAATAAATTGAAAATAATGTAATAAAAATACCTATTAATACATAGAATAGGTATGTAAACTAAATATCCTAAAACTTTATGGAATAGGTTACACAAACCCCTATTTTAAAAATTCCTATTAGTACATGAAATAAGTATGTAAACTAAATATCATAAAACTGTATGAAATTGGTTACATGAACCCCTATAAAAATAGAGCTACTGTATTCTATTTTTCTCATTCACAAACTCATCAAAGCAAATTCAACAAATTTCTTTGATTCTCTTTCTCTAATTTTAAAATCATCTTAGAAAGTTCAAGAGAACAGTGGAAATTATTTGTTTATAGGTCAATTGGATCGAAATCAAAATTATCACCATATATAGTACGTGTTATTCGAAAGTGGGAAGCTAGAAATCCTGAAGAAAATAATATTCTTATGGGAGTTGAGCTTCTATTACTAGATGAAAAGGTTAGTAACATCTTATTATATTGATATAGACAATCTTATTATAACATTGATTAACATTAAAGTTTTACTTTTGTTTGAAACAGGAAAACACAATTCAAGTTTTTGTGCATCATTCACTACTTCAAAATTTTGGAGATCAGATGGCCGAAGAAAACATTATCGAAATTTGTAATTTTAATCTGCAGTCTGCTGATAAATAAAACTTCTATTACTTGATGAAAAGGAGGAAAAATAACTCTCACTAAGAAAAGGAGGAAAAATAACTCTTACTAAGAAAAGAAAAAAAAAGAAAATCAAAGAAAGAAATAAAAATTTTACATCCATTACTAAAAGGAAAAGTAAAACATATTTCAAATACAAAAAGGAAAAAAAAATAATAATATATAGTATGCTATAGTCTTCATGATTTAATTGTGTGATTCTATTTTTGATTAAACTTCTCTCTCATTAAGAAATAAATATAATGTATTTGAAAGTTCATGATATAATGAAGAATATTTAACTCTAGATCAGTTGGATCCAAATCAAAATTATTGTTGCTACTTGTGTCTAATATTTTGAAAACAAGTGTTAACACAAGAAAATTGGAAAAATGTATAAAACAACTAAAAAACGAACAAAATAATTAGAAAACAAGTAACTAATGGCCTGAATTAAAAACAAAACTGAAAAAATAATATATAGAAAACTAATAAAATAATTATCGAGCAACTAACTAATATTAAAAGGAAAAATTTATTATGAACTGATATTCTAATTTCATAGTTTAATTTTTTGTTAGGTAAAAAATATTAAAAAAAAAATTTCATCAACCAAAATCTCTTCAATGGATAATAAAATTTTCACGAATTAATCAATCAATCAGACTTACACATGTGTAAGTCTTTCAATTTTAGATAAAAGTAAAAAGATAACAAATTAATTCATTTTTCGTATCATGAATTCGAAAATATGTCAATTATAATAAAAATGTAAAAAGATTACCAATCTAATATTATTTAGAGGTATTTTATCGGAGTTTTAATACTAATCTACTTACTTTTAATTGTTTAAAGTGTCAAATTTATTTAATATTTTTCTATGACTTATTTCAAAAATTGTATAATAAACCCGCGTATACGCGGGGCTTAATCTAGTATAATGTTCACAATCCCATGAATAAAACGCGTTTAGTGATCAATAAAAAAACAAATAATATGATTTCCTCATAACAGATGATTCAGTTTATAATAAAATTAAAAAGAAAAATTTCGGATTTTCAAACTCATAGTATCATGTATAACAATATATATATTAGGTTTGAATCTCAAATGTGAATACAAAGATATATACACAAATAACTGGCAGGACAAATGGTTAAGTAGAATAAGAAGTTTATCTCATTTATAACATACACTCGTTGCTTATAAATTTGTTGTTTTTCATTTTGTTTCAGCAGTACAGTTCAATATAAATGGTGAAACTTTTATAAAACCAAACAAACTACGAATGTTTTGACTTCGCCATAAGTAATTCCTTTAAACTTTAAGTCTAAAACTTAGCGATTGGTTTTGAGCTACACTTTTTTTATGTATTAAACTCTAATTGTGTTACATATTTATTTCCCTTAACCATTTTTTTCAAACTAAAAGACAATAATTAGTAGGAAGTTGTATATTTTTTTTATCAAGATCAATAGATTGTCGAATTTGTTGGTATTCTCAGTTCCATCTCTTAAAGTCTAAAATCCTTCGAGATTTGACCCCTAACCTATTCCATTTTCAACCTTTTTCAACTACGTCATCCATTTTATGTTTTGTTTTCCTTTTTCTTTCAAAATGTAATAAACATTAAACAATACCTCTACTTAAAAGGAAATCGAATTTTGAACTATATAATTTGTCGTAACGTGGAAAATATTGATATGATAACAAGACAAAAATTGTTAATAATAACGCAACTGATTTCGAATCAATACAAAATGAAATATATAAGAACGAAGATTTCAAAAATTAGACATAAGTTGAATTATTCTCATTTTAAACTCCAAATTCAGTTGTCTTCATATGTTTTGTAGTCACTAAAAATTGAGTTCTCGTTGATTCTAAATGTTAAGGGGATATTAACAGCGGAAGAAATGAAGAGAATCTATAGTTAGAATTAATAAATTAAAGATTCGACGAATGTAAATTAATCAAGAGAATATTGTTTAAATATGCATACTTTTAAAATTATCAATTAAATAAAAAATTCTGTCATCAAAACCAGAACCCAATGCACAGGGTTTTTCTCAGCCTCTCTTTCTCTTTCTCTCTCCTCTCTCAATGGAAATCCTGTCCAGGTTTCGCTATTCTCTCCCTCTTGTTCTCTTTGATAATTCATGTGCATCATATGCATAGAACAAATCACGTTGCTTTTCGCGCTTTTCTGAAACTCGATTCGGTTTCTCTGATCGGATTTTCGATTTCATCTCACTGTTCTCTGTGTTTTTCCGCAAATAGAATTGGATATTTTGCTGATGCTGTATTGTTTCTTTTCTAGGGTTCGTTGTTGATTTCTTATGCTATGGTCAAGTCCTAGTGCGGTTAGATGAAGGGCATCGAGAATTTACGCTGATTAGAAACAGCGGCCTTGAATCTGATAGAGATCAGTGGTGGGTTTTTGGTTCCGGCCTTGATTTTGTAGATTCCGATGCTTCTGATTTTGAAACTGTTGAGACCCTTTTCGCTCTTGTGATTGCCGCCGATTGCATTTCAGGACTTTTGTTCCCAAATCTCTGAAATTTTTGTCTGCATGTCACTCAGTTTTGGTATCTTGATCTAGCAGCCTGCACTTTGGAGAATTTCTCCAATAAAGTTTAGACTTTTGTTCTCGCTTTGCTCTGTGGAAATGAGATTTCAAGGAATGGTTTTTCCCCAAAGTATTGTACACAAGAAAGTTTGTGTTTAGTGGTCTCTTGTCCGCCTAGCTTTTGGAAGATAGGTTTTGTGTGGTGACTTGTGAATATACGACTTGAGAAGAATGGAGATAGGAGGCGTGTGTGATGATATCAAGTTAAGTGATCAGACATACCCTGATGAGCCTCACTGTTCCGAGATGGAAACTGAAACCATTGCTTCATCTCAGAAGAATGAAGGAGGCGATGGGAGTAATGTGGTCTTTTCAAGAGAGGCACCTCTGATAGGTAAGGATCCAGCTGGGACTAATTCGGGCGAGTGCAGTGGTTGTATTGCAAAGAAGCTGAATTTCAAAGGCAGTGAGGATCTTATCGAGAAGGAAAGTGTTGGTCAGCAGAAAAAGCTCAATAGGCAGGATAGAATCGAGTTGGGAAGACTCTTCCAAGGCGCTGTTACCTCACTGGATTGGGAACTTGCTGAGAGATTGATTCAGTTAGCTGATCCGCAAACGCTGAATGATCTGTTGTGCGTTGGTCTTGACTCTGTTTGGTTCTTAAGTACAAAGCAAGAGTTTCAGGGGGTTACTGGATTGATTAAGAAGATCATATGTCATGGTGCTCATGACTTCACCAGAGCTACTCTTAGGACTTCGTTTCTCGCTGCGTGTGTCTCTGCTTGCCAGAGCCGGACTATGAGCCTGGCTGATACTGTAACCGTTATGGCTCAAAGGTACATTTGCGTCTCTTCTCTTTCCATTTGCTAAACAGTCACTATGGCCTAAATTCGAGTTTTATGTATTGTGTATATGTAATATTTAGGTTGCAGGAGCGTCTCCAAGAGTGCAACGGGGATGAGATTCTGAAAGCAGAGGCTGGTGCAAAAGTTCAGAAGTTCACTGAATGGGCTCTCAAATGTATAGGTTTCCACTCCCGTTGCCAGGGGGCAAAGGATGGAGTTAGCCACAATTCAGCTGCTGAGACTGAGCTACAGCTTTCTGCTTTCAAGATGTTTTTAGATCTAGCCGGGAACCATCTCTCCGGAAGGGACTTCACCGAGGCCTTTGATGCAGCTTGTTTCCCGCTCACTCTGTTTTCAAACTCGTTTGATCCTGGTTGGGCGTCTGGAGTATCAGCTACTGTCATACAGGGACTGCTCGGTATGCTTGTTGAAGGTGGTGCAGATAACGTGAACCAATGTTTCCTTGAAGCTTCACGTTTCGGAAGTACAGAACTTGTCCGCGTCTTGCTGCATGTAAGCTTCGACACTCATCATTTCATTGCTTTTAGAATTGAACATCTCTTTATGTTCTCAAATTTTGTTTATTTTTCCTGATTTTCAGATTGCTCAAAGGAACAGCTTAGACGTGGATGTGGACTTAGCTCTTGGTTTCGCCTCGCATTACTGTAAACTCGGGACGATGAAGTGCTTAGTGGAAGAAGGTAATGCCATTGCCTTCTTAGGTCCTTTGATGAGAGCAGCAGAGAGAGGCTGTATGCAAGTTGTTGAATGGTTTGTGAAAAGAGGCTGCCGAGACATGGAGCTTTGTCTCGCTCTTACAGCTGCCACTTCAAGTAGTCAAGTCGAGGTCGCTTCGTATCTCCTCCCTCATGTTCCGCCACCTGTCCTAACCGCTCTCAGCATCGAGATCCTCAAAGCAGCCGGAGAAAGAAGCGGAGGTTCTCTCCAAGGAGTGGAGTTTCTCCTCAAATCTGACTTCTTAGGAGACTCTGTTGCCACATACTCAGTCGCAGACAGCATCGCTAGGTCGTCAGCGGAAGACGAAACCGTGCCTTCGGATCTAAAGTCGTTTCTCCGAGAGCATTGGTCGGAGTCAGCTTTTGAGAAAGGAATGAGTGAGAGCCATGAGAATTTCATGAATTTCATGAGGGTGTTGAAGAGAGGCGAGTCTGAGATGTCCTTGAGAGACCTTCCTGCGCCGCTGAGAGTAGCGATTGCGTACATGCCGCTGTACAGAGAGTGTGTGGATGCGGGTGGGCAGTTACTGTCTCAGAGGCTAAGAGGACAGCTCGTGGAAGCTGTGAGACAGCTTGAAGGATGTGTTGTTGCGGTTGTTGAAGTAAGCGAGACTCATAACCTTATGGCGGTTTTGGAGCATCACCTTACCGCCATTTTCGGTTAAAACGGAGAAAATTTTAAAAATAAGGAAATGACGATTTAACGGATTGGGATCCGGTTTGAGATGATGTTTTTTTCTTTCTTGTATAATTTTTCTTCTGACCCTTATTTTTGTTTATTCATAGCTTCTTATATGATTATGATAATTTGATATAACTTCGAACTTGAGTTTCTATGATGAGATCGTGTTAATTTATGTCACTGCCATTTCAAATCTCCAAAATGAGATATTTTCTCTTCTTTTAAAAATGTTTTTGGCAAATCCCAGTTATATTTTGCATATGCATTTGTCTAAAGATTGATGATGGCCAAGCTTACTAATCGACAATTATATAATTTAATTAATTACTTTTAAAAAGCAAAATTAATCTGCCGTTACTTACAGAGAAACGAGAGGATTGTCGAGAATTTGACAAAACCAACGGCTAAATCTCTGAACAAACCGTAACGTATCTTCTTCTCCTTCTCTTCTTCCTCAACGAAATTCCGAATAATTTCGAAATTCGCGACGAATCACGGGCTACTTAATTTCTTCTGCAATCTCCGGCGATTTTGAATCAATTCTAAAGATATGGAAGCGAAAATCGGCGGATCCAAGCAACAACAGCCATCAACACCAGCTCCTCCGCCTTCAACGCGACGGCCGAGGGTCAGAGAAGTCAGTTCCAGGTTCATGTCTTCCGTTTCTTCTTCCTCTTCATCCGCCGGCGATCTCTACTTTTCGACTTCGAATTCTCCTAACCACAACCACCACCATCAACAACGCTCGGTTTCAGCTCAGAGGCTCAGACGCCAGTTGAAAATGGGGGACGCCGATGAGAATCGCTCGATTCCCGAGACGGCGTCGCGCAGCCTAGACTCGCCTTTTACTCTCACGAAACAAAGCCAATCGAAGCCGTTCAAGGAGAATTCTCACCGGCTCGACGCCGCGCCTACGCCCATAGTTCCTCCGCCGTCAAAATCGCGGTTAAGCCAACATCGATTACTAACCGCTTCCCCCGCTACGAGGCTTCTCCAATTAAGCGGCATATCGGCGTCATTTCCGAGCTCACCGCTCTCGAGCTGCAACGGTCGTGAGAGCGGTTTGTTTTCGCGGCTAGGCTCGTCTCTGCCTCCGGTGGCACCGAATACAAAGATTCCGGTGGAAAGTAAAAAGCAGAGGAAGGTCTCGGAGCAATTAGAAGATGTGCATTCTCTGAAACTACTCCACAATCGTCATTTGCAATGGAGATTTGCAAACGCGAACGCACAAGTGAAAACTCAAACTCAGAGAGCCCAAACCGAGGTCAATTTCTGTCTTTGATCTTTGAAAAAGTTAACAAAAGTTTTTGTTTTACTGGTGTTTTTGTTATTCCTTGTAGGCCATGCTTTACTCCTTTGGTTTGAAGATTTCAGAGCTAAACGATTCTGCGCAAAGCAAACGCATTGAGCTTCAATGCTTATCGAGAGTTAAAGCTCTTCTTGCGGTTACAGATTCTCAAGTAAGCTGAGAATGACTTCACTTTATTATCTCTCGTACATGAACAAATGAGGCTTACTGAGTAAATGAGTTTTTTCTCCATTTGTTACTCTATCAACAGAGTCCATGTTTGGAGCAATGGTCGGCGATTGAAGAAGAGTACTCTGCATCGTTATCCCAAACAATCCAAGCTTTGTCCAATGCTTCATTACGGCTTCCACTCGATGCAGATATCAATGTATTTATTCACATCTTTGTGTTGAGTCTATACCAAATTAGGACGAATATGTATCACAAAGAGTTTGCCTCCTCTCTCATAAGCAGGTTGAAAATAAAGAATTAGCAGACGCACTTGTTGGTGCTTCCAAGGTTTTGGACGGCATTACACAAAACGTTGGAAACTACACCTCAATGGTAAGTAAAATGGTTGTTTAAAGAAAGTGGGTATTAGCAGGAATGAAGTTTTTTCAACTCCCAAATACGTTTTTGCAGGCAAAAGAGATGGAGATTTTAGTGTCAGAATTAGCAAGAGTCAATAGCAGAGGAAGATCATTGACTGAAGATTGTGGACTCGAGCTTCTTAAAACGCAGGCTTCACATGTAAAAAAAACAAACCTTCTTCTAGATATATAAAGCTTATCCTTTTTTTGATTCTGGTTCTAGAGTTTTGAATTGCTTTCTTATATGTTCTGCAGATCGAAGAATGTTCTCTGAGAATTCAACTTATCCAACACCAAAAGAAGAGTCTTGTTACTGGGACTCAAAACTCTTGTTCTCTTGGTAGAGATTTTAGCTGAAGCAATGCAGAATTGAAATCGATGCATAGATAGATCCTACTAATTAGCCATATATTAAAGATAAGATTTTTTTGATAACATAGCTCTTGAAATTACTTAACCCTAAATCATTCATAACCACGACTTGACATGAAAAGAAGAAACCGATAAGTCATCTACACCCATCTAGAGATCCGAAGTTACATATAAGCAAAGTAAATCAAACTGATTAGGTTTTCGGATTCACCACTCACTGGAAGCACCACTGATTCTCCTGGCGAAGCTCTTCTTCTTCCTCCGGAGTGAAATCGTTCTCGATGTCGAAGGTAGCGCGAATCTCGTCGGCGTCTTTGCAAGCTGCGATCTTGTCGGCGATGGTCTGGCAGGTGAGGTCAAGGAGACCACTGATGTTGAGGTAGTTCGCGGCCAGGATGAGATCGAAGATGGTGGAGTCGTCGACTTTCACGAACTCGGCGTCCCACTTCTTCAGCTCTTCCTCGGAGGCAACACTGGCGTGCATCTTGCAGTACTCGATCACAGTGGAGAGGACGTCGCTCGTGACGTTCGCGAGTGGGAAGCCGTTACTGGTGCTGGCGGAATCGTCTCCGATGAGGTGCGCTATCGTCTCCGACTGGAGAGCGATCGATTCGTCGATCTCGAACGATTCACCATCTGAAGTCTTCAACACGATCTTCTTCGACATCGTTGGTTTGTTTTGGAGGCTAGTTTCTCTCAAGAAATTTGACGGAAGAAAAGAGTGAGGAGTCAAGTGTGAATCTATGGGTCTGTTTATATAGAACCAAACCCTAATTTTGAGAGACGGATTGTTGTTGACCCCTTTTTCGAGAGAAAGGAAATTTTGTTAACCATAAAATAAACCAAGCCTAAACCGGATCTACATTAAAATTACATTTAGTTAACCGGAAATTCCACGGTTTAGGCTGGGTTTGTTCCACGGGTTTAGGCTGGATGATTATGGATAGTGATGATGAATTTCATAGATAAAGAGGGAAGAGAGAAGTAGATTAAGATGATAGTTTTTCTGATTGATTTTACCAAATGGCAAAATGTCTTACAATTAGTGTTTGTCGTAACAATTTACAAACCAAAGATACATAGTTATAACTAAGGATAAACCGATTATAGGGAAACCGGTGGTGATTAAGGATATTTACTATAAGGCTATCACTATATGTAACAAACAGCCTCTCAAATTTATGGAAATTTGATATTTCTCTTAAATAGTTCACCAATGTATTATACACAAAGATAAAGATAATGTAAATATATAATTAAAAATCAGATTTCAATAGAAAAAAAAAAAACTATTTGTGGTTCTGAAGTTTGAATATACACAAAAAATACACAGACTTTAAATCTGCATAAGTATTCCCTAACATTAGATGGTAAAATGCTTGAGGGTGGACATTTAGATTAGACGGTAATCTCCACCGAGCCGTTGGTGTGCCCGATCTTCGAGTGGAAGCCATCACCACCACTCCTTGGCTTCTCCATGAAAGATTCTTCAATAGAGATCTACTTCCTTACCAAAGAGTGAAGAACTGGATCTTCTTCTCAATAGCAGAGTATCCAGGTCCGGCTATGGGGCGAATATGGAAGAGTTATGATGACAGCAATGTTGCTGACAACATCAGCAAATGGAGATACAATCTGGATGGAAATGGAAAGTAAGAGAGAGGATGAGAGGTGACAATGAATACTATTTAATTTCACAATTTTCCAAATGGTTGTGTTATTATATAAGGTTTCTGAAACAAACAACCTAAATTAACAAAAACCAGAAAAAAAAAACATTTTGGAAACACATTTTCGGTTTGTTCTCTCATCGAGCTGATTAAACACATTTTCTTGACGAAATACCTATAGAAATACAAATACATAGCGACAGAGAATCTCTTTCTTAAAAGTCCCTGAAACATGAAGTGAGCTTAGAGTGATGGATTAACCAAAGTGCACCCAACAAAAAAAAAAGGAGCAAAGATCAGAGAAGTTATAAGAACCAGTTTCAAAGATTTGAGCACACGACTACCTAATGAAAGCTGAATTAAAAAAGCTACTTTCAGAAAAATAGCAAGACTAGAGAAGCTAAAAGTCCAATCTTGTTCCTTCGAGCGCTCGTGAGAACCAGTGGAAACCATATCGGGAACAGAGATCACAGAAGATCCACATCGCACAATTGCAATTAACAATGATGTTCCACAACCAAAGACAAAACAAAACTAAGATAGTTTGTAGAAACTAGAGCTTCGATTGTAACAGGTAAATTAGAGATTAGTCCCAAATCTAGAATCTATCCACAAGATCGAAGATAAGGATCAACAGCGAACTTGAAGATGATTAAAGAGAAAGAGAATCACCTTGAAGAAATCTGGGTTTAATCGAGGTTTGATATGAATCATATGATGAAGAAATCTGGGTTTAAGCTAGTACGTTCTGATTTTTACTTTTTTTTTTTTGGATGAAAAGGAAAACTATCTGATTTCATGACTTTCCAAATGGCCGCGTATGGCGTTTCTGAAAGCAACAACCTAGACCGGTTTAAGTAAACCAGGATAAAACCAAAGAACATAATCAAACAAAGACGCATAATTTTTTTTTTTTTTTTTTTTTAAATTACTCCATCCATTCCTTAATTGTAGTTGTTGATGTTTTAGAGTTTTCACATGGGATTTAGAAATAATTAATGCTTAATTTTTAATGTAGTAATTTTTCATTTCAAATAACTATTAACCAATAAAAATTATAGAATTCTTTTAAGTTTGCATTTTTGTGAACTTTATTAACAAAAAGTAAATTTAATAGTCTAAAACATCAAATAATAAGGAATAAAAACAAATTTTAAAAGATAAACTATTAAGGAACATAGAGAGTACATGGATTCCTGAACTAGAAATCTTTTAGAGGTAAGAAACAATAGCAAATGATTAACTGTAATTATGCATGTGTAAACGGAGAAGAAACCCTAAACTTACGAAGAGATATTTAGGGGTCCCAATATTTAGGGAATTAGCAAAAAATTACTTGTTTAGTAGTTGGTTAAGGATTATAAAAATTACATGTCATAATGTCATATGGTTGGCATTATTGTTCTACTATGTAAAATTCCACAACCTTGGAGCAACAACAAGTGATTTTTGTATGTGAATTCAAATTATTAAATAAATCAGACCTTAAAGGAAAAAACTTATCAACGTTTGTAGTTTATTTATTGATTGTCTTATATACTTGCACCATAAAAACTGAGTTTTGACTTTCAGATTTATAAAATTTTGTTGTTTTCTGTTGTAGTAATTTAAAAATTATTTTATTCTTTAAAATAATTAATTTAAAAGTCAATTCTTCTTGTTTTCTGAAAATATACACCACTCAAACATTAACAAATATCAAATGTTTAGATTTAGTTAATATTCTTTGGAAGAAAAAAAATAAATCGGGTTATCACCAACTTTTACCTGAATTTTTTTGTTATCTTGTACACTATGTAATGTCATTATGGATAAAGATAATATATAAAAATATAATGAAAACCAGATTTCAATAATAAAATGATGATACTATTTGTGGTTTTGAATAGGCACAAAAGCTGCACACACTTTAAATCTGCATAAGTATTCCAAAACATTGGATGGTAAAATGCTTTAGGATGGACATTTTCACATTTTTTGGTTAGAAGGTTCGATAAAATTGATATTATTCAAAACAATTGATTAACGAATGTGGTGACCAAATTTCATTTTAATTTCAAAACATCGAGTAGGAAATTTAGGAAACATTGATACATAGCTGAACAAACTAGGAAACATTGGTACATTGATACATAGCTGTAATGTGTGGGTCAATATTTGTAAACTTATCGATTGGTTAATCTTACTTTGTAATTTTTTCTTTGTTATCCCATGTATAGGGAGTCTGTGTCGATATTTCTATATAAAAATGTTATAATTAGAATATGTTAGTTTTCTTTGAAAGATAAAAGAAAAACACAATTTTTATTGTAAAGTATTGACAATTTAAAGAAAGAAATTGACTTCACATTTTATGAAATTGATACAGTACCATGTCGGCTTTGCAAACCGATATTAACATATGTCGGTTAAATCTATGGTAAGACTGAAATCAGTATTCGAAAGAATGGAGATCATTGATCGAATCCGACCATCTTTAACAGAAACATAACTGTCTCCGTCAGAAAAAGTATGGAGCCGAAGAGCTGAAAATCAATAAAAGTATCAGATTTATAGGAATTTTAATTAACCCGGCTAGTAAACTAAGAGGAATGAAATGCTCTTTTTCTTTTTGTGTCTTTTGGTGAATTGTTATGGTCACTTTTCTGTACCGTGTGTTCGGTTTTTGGTCTTCCTTTTTGGAAGTAATAAATTACAAATTCAGTGGGAAAAAGAAACTAAGTTGAGAGATATCAGGTTTCCATAAATTTGAGAGGTTTTAATAAACAATCGCATGATAAACAAACTAATGTTCACAAAGAATACGAAATGAAGCTTAAGGCACTATAGATGGAGAAAGAGACACCAAATGTGGCGTGTAAGACGAGAAAGAGACAGAACCAGAAAGACCACAAACCGTATCATTGCTCTACCATGAACCATTTTTTCCCTTCTCTAAATTTTGGAAAATAAGACGGTTTAAAGTTACAAAAATCGATAAACAAGAGAAACAAACAACCTAAACCAACAAAAACCCCAAAAAAAAAGAAAAACACTAACATCTCCTATATTTCATCATCTTTGGAACTAAATGAACATAATGTCCTTTCTTCACCATATCTCTTATTACCTTGCGAGCCTCAGAAAGCTTCCCTGCCTTTCTTAACCAGCTCACCAATGTACTATACACTACGAAATTCGGGTGACACCCTCTACACTCCATCTCCTTCAGCAACCAACACGCCTCTTTAAACTCTCCCGCCATACACAGCCCTCGAATCATGGAGTTGTACGTGAAAACATTCGGCAATTGCCCTTTCACAGTCATCTCTTCGAACATCTCCTTCGCCTTCTCCACCTCCCCGGACACAACATACCCCGTGATCATCACGGTGTAACAAACAACATCCGGCGTACAACCAACTCTCACCATCTCATCGAAAAAGTACTTGCAAGCCTCCAAATTCCCCGCACGGCTCAAACCGTCTATCAAAGTAGTGAAATGTATCACGCTCGGGTCAATCCCAACTTCCTTCATATGGTTCAACGTAGTAAGAGCAGCGAGCGGTTTGTTCCCTTTCCCCAAAATATGCAGCAAAATGTTAAACGTGTAGAAATCAGGAGCCAACCCATCTCTACCCATCTCATCAAACAACCTATCGAACCGTTCCATATTCCCTAACCTATAGTTCGTCCACATGAGAATGTTATACGTTAACACATCTGGCCAAAACCCGTCTTCCAACATCTGCTCATAAACCCACTCGATCAACTTATACTGCTTCACACCAAGCAACGAGTTCAGAATCGCGTTGTAAGAGTGCTTGAAAGGCCTGTAACTGAAAGTCTTGGACTTTATGAACTGCACGACGGCTTGCTTCGCGAGACCTGCCTCGCCGCAGCTACAGATCAAGAGATTGAACGTCCTCGCCGTCGTCGGGTATCCGTCTTGAACCATCTCGTCTAGTAATCTCCACATTGCCTTGTACTCTCCACACTCTGCAAATATCTTCATAAG